GGCGGTTTCTCGGCCTGAACACGCGCTTGCCATTCCGCTGTCCCTCGGGCCACGGCCTGCCGAGGGCAGGTGGCAGGCCACTCCGCGAAACCCCTGGACACACCCAACTGCTGTTGGGGGGGCAGCTGCCCGGAGGACAGGGTGGGACCCCGTGCGTACGACCACTCCCGCGGGCGCCGGCCCGGGCTTCTCTGCGCCTCCTGGCTCGTGCGTGTCGCCCTTCTCCGTGGGTGGAGGCCTGGAGGGGCCTGGGACGGCGACCCCAGAGCTGCAGGCGTGTTCGGGGCCTTGCGCCTCCTGGCAAAGGTCCTGGGTGCGAGCGGGTGTCCCTGGCCCCGTGGGCCGCCTTCCTGGTGAGCAGGCCACGCGCAGGCCCCATTTCCTTGGTGAGCTCCCGGCGTCTCTGGTCTCCAGGGCGGAGACCCTCACGCTCGCTGGTCTCCAGGCTCACTCTCCAGCTCGGTTGCTGGGAAATGCGCGCTTCGCGGCCGCAGAGTTCAAGGCCTGTTGTCAGCCTGGACGCCCGCTGTGGGGCCGCGAAGGGAACCGCGTGTCTAGCGCATGCCTGTAAGGGACAGGGGGCTCCACCCTGCCGGAGGCGACGTCGGCAGTTCAGCCACGGTCTTGGTGAAGAGTGACTGCAGAAGCCCTGGCAGTGCCACCAAGGTCACTGACGTTGCTGGTCGGGTGTCGGCGTGGGTGCCCCACCTCTGGGTGCAGGGCGCAGAGCAGAGGCTTGAACAGAATCCTGCAGGTGTGACCGTCAGCTCCAGGGAGGCGTGGCCCCGGGCCCCTGAGCCGTCAAGCCCCTCAGGGCATGTGGAAGGTCCCTGCACCCTGCCACTGTGGCCATCCCAGGGGGAAGGACCCGGAAGGCTGGCCTGGAGCACAAGGAACAGCAGAGGCACGGCCCAGCGAGCCAGGCCTGGGGTGTTGGGGCCCTGGGCGCCCTCTCCTTGTCCCGAGGAGAACCCGGGTGTGTCTCGATGAGATGGCCGCCTGCACAGAGCTAGCGGGCTGGATCTGGGATCCCGAGAACCCGCGTCCTCTCCCTCCCTGTGTCCCGGCCGAGAGGCCCCAGACGATGCTTGCCGAATAAGTGAGGGAGTGAGTGAATGAGTGATGCTTGTTGCCAACCTAAGCTTCCGGGGAGGGTGCACAGCCTTCCTGAAAGGTCCCTGTGAGGAGCCGCTCTCAGGCAGCACCTCTCGTCTGCAGGGCAGGGGCACTTCAGCACGACGCGTCCTGTGAGAGAGAGCGGGCGAGAAGGAGCAAGCCGCAGCAGAGCGACCGTGACTCAGTCAGCGTTGGGGGCGGCCTGGGCCGTGTGCTCGCGGGGCGAGGCCACCCCCGGCAGGCTTGCAGGGGCGAACCCACTTTTGCAGCTGCCTGCCTCCCCGTCGTGAATCGGAGGCCCATGCCCTGACCCCCTCCAGAATCCGCGGGCGCCCCGTCCAGCCGGCCCTGTGCCACTGCTCCGCGGGTGACTTAGAACTTTCTGAGGCTTCCCTTCCAAGCGTGGGGGGTGTGGCACCCCAGACTCTCCACATCTGGGGAGCCTGTGTGGCCTCGTGACCCCGGGGGCGTGCCGGCAGACTCTGTGGCTCAACTCTGTGGCTCAGCTGCAGCCGCCGCCAAGCGGAACAGGGTGGCATCCACACCTGTGTGAGCCTGGGCAGGTGACCCCAGGGACCAGGGTTTCTGTGACTCTTGCTGACTGGCCTTTTGCTCCAGCAGCCCTCTGGCCTCCTGGTGCTCTGTGGACGCCACATGTGCGTGTGTCATCTGACCACACTGGGCAGGGAGCAGGAATGTTGGTCGTGGGCCCAAGGACAGGCAGGACTGCCCAGGGAGGCGGGGAGGTGGCGTCAGACCCACTCCTGCAGCCTGGTGTTCTTCATTGCACGTGTGCGTGTGTTTGTGTATGTGCATGGGAGCATGTGCGTGTGTGCACGTGGGACTCTGTGTCTCGGGTTTTCCAGCAGAGCCGGGCCAGTGCTGTGGGCTGCACCCTGTGTTACCGCGCCCACCCTGTGCTCCCGTGGCTGACGGCTGAGCTATGACCTTCTGGTTCCACCAGCTCCAGGCTGGGCCTTGTGTGGCTCTTCTCCTGAGCCGTTAGAGCTGGTTTTCATGTCATCCTCACGGTTTACCTGGCTCTCAGGCTACGTGGCTTTGTGTTGGGGCAGGAGATTCAAGGCTTTCCCTGAGAGAGGCATAGGGGGGGCTGGCCATTCCCAGAGACCTCTTCACAGGGACCCGGCGAGGGCCGTGTCAGTGGGGGCTGGGCGTTGGGTGGGTGCCCCACCACCCTCTGGGTGTCTAAGGCGGAAGGGGGCCCTGCTGCCGACGGGGGGCATGTGGCGAGAGAAGGAGAGCCTGGGCAGGCACGCGCACCAGGACACGCTGTGCAGCTTCTGGAGTGCCCCCAACCTGGGAAGAAGGCCTTGTTTCACGACGTTGCGAGGCTTATTTGAAGCGGTCTCCTCGGCAGCTCGCGTTTTCCCCTTTTCCTCTGTCACCCACCAAATTTGAGACGTCACCATGGAACCCCCGTCTCCCATTCCCTGGGCTCTCAGAGCCTGTGCCACTCAGGGGACTTTCCTGTTTCCAGTCCAGTGCTGCCGGCCACGTGGCGGGAGCCCTCCCCAGTGGCATCGAGGCAGGTGGGGCATCAGGCCTGGTGCCAGCCTGCACTGCCCAAGAGGCACTTCTGGGGTGGGTGCTGGCTGAGCCCCCCGAGGTCCGGCCGTTCCACCCTGGGTGGCGACTGCTGCCACTTCCGCCAAAGCCCCGGCTTCCTGGTGCCAGGTCGCCCCTGGCCTGCTCTGTCTGGCAGATGCTTGGAGTCTGCGAGGACTCCATCATTTTTCCTCTTGCGGCTTCTAAGAAGCTGTCTTGTAAGCTGTGCTCTGGGCAGGCCGCAGACCCCGCACGAGGGCCTCTCCTTGGGAGCTGGAAAGGGCCGTCCCAGCTCCCTGTTCTCCCGCTGTCTCATCCCCCACCTTCATCCTGGGCTGCCCCCTGCCCCAGCTCTCCCAGTTGGGCGTCGGGGAGCGCCCCCGAGGGCCTGCAGGGTCTGTGTGGCTGCCTGCGGGCGCCTCGCTCTCACCTTGCTGGAGATGCAGTTGTTTCCGCAGCCGGCTGCCTCTGGTGGGGGCCCGCAGAGTCCGCAGGGCCTTCCCCCCAGCCCACCCCAGCCAACTCCACCACTGGGCGGGCGCCTTGGAGGCCGTGGGTGAGCAGGGCTGGGCTCGCACGACCCCCGAGGATCTCTGCGGGAACAGGACCTCCGGCGGAGGCTGCCTGGCCCCGTCTGCCAGCTCCTGTCCACACCAGCTGCCTCTGACTGTTGGCGCCACCGGCCTTTGGGGACCCAGGTCCCCAAAGGTCCTGGAGGCTGTTCTCGGCAGGCCAGGCAGAGGCTGGGGTGTGACATGGGTGCGGACAGACAGAACCACCGTGGGCAAGCAGTGAACCCTAGGGCCACGGCCTGTGTCTCCGTGCCTGGCCGGCACCTACAGAGGCCTGGAGCGGGGGATGGGGCAGCCCGTGCTGTTCAGGGGCCCATGCCAAGCCCCGGGGCCTGGGAGCTCCATGCTGGGACACGGTCCTCGGCCAGAGACAGTGGGGTGCAGGCATGTCTCGGGTTGGGCGGGGCGGACACTGACTTCCTCCCTGGGAGGGTGGCCCCTGGGGCCTGGCAGGAGGAGGCAGAGCCTGTCCAGGGTGGGCAGGGCAGGGCAGGGGGTAGGAGCCAGCCCAGCTGTCCACGTCGTCTCCAGAGCCCACAGCCCCATATCGAGCTCTCCAGGAAAGCCGGGGGCGGCAGGGCTGCGGGGGTGCGGCGGGTCTCCCGTCCCCGCGGTGCTTTCTCCACTGGCCTGTGTCTGCTTCTCCCAGTCCCCTCCCTGGGACCTCCCAGCTGCGGAGGCAGCAGACCCTGAGGGCCGGTTCCCCTTAAAAGTCCTGGGCCTGAAACTCCCCAGTGAGCTCCATGCGGGGGCGGGTGGGGTGGTTGCTGTGGTTGCTGTGGTGATGCAGAAGTGCATTGGTCTGAAACGAATTCGATGAACATCCCTGTTGTGGAAGCAACGGCAGAGCCGCTCTCTTCACAGCGCCCAGGCCTGGGAGCGTCCCTGCTCCTCGGGCATGGCTTCTCCCTTGGGCGTCTGCCGGGGGCGGTGGACACATCACTTCTGGGCACAGAGGAAGGGGAGACCCCACGAAATGGGACCCTGAGAGGCACTGACACGCGTCCTGGCTTTGTACAGGGCCAGCTTCACCTCGGCCTGCACTGCTA